CTTTCTTCCAAGGTTATAAGTCCTAATTTTGTAGTCTGTCTTCGTAACTCAGATCTCTTAGGGTAGGTGCCCATCTTGTCGCCGCTCTTTGGACTCTTTCCAGTTTGTCAATATCTTTTTTCAAGTGTGGACTCCATACCACTGCACCGTACTCAAGAGCTGGTCTTATGATTGCTTTAATAATCTTCTTTACCATATCTTCGTCCACATACACGAATGCCCTCTTCATGTTGGCAATCAGTCCTAACATTTTGTGGACCTTTTCATTTATATGGTCATTTGGATTTAGGTTTCTATTTATGATTATCCCAAGATCTTTTTCCCTGTCAGCTGTGTCTAATACTGCGTCCCCTAATTTGTATTGGAATAGTGGGCGATTTCTACTTTCTCCAAATCTGACTACGTGGCATTTATTGGTATTGAATTCCATTTTCCATGTACAACTCCACGTGAATAAGTTATCGATGTCACTTTGGAGGCATTGGCATGAGACGTTGTCTGTTACCCTCTTTTGTATCTTTGCGTCATCTGCAAACATATTAAGATAACTACCTGGGCTTATGTTTGACTCTAAATCATTGACGAAAATAGTAAACATAATTGGCGCCAACACCGATCCCTGAGGCACTCCGCTGGTTACCCGTCGCCATGTAGAATGCTTTCCTCTAATTACTGTGCTCATTTGTCTTTCATGAAGAAAGTCTTTCATCCATGCGAGTAGGTTACCTTTCACTCCACCTAGGTGCTCTAGTTTCCATAGTAGTCTTCTATGAGACACCTTATCAAAAGCCTTCTTAAAGTCTAAATACACACAATCCACCCAGCCGTCTCTTTCTTGTAATATTTCAGATACTCTATAATAAAAACAGAGATTTGTTACACACGACCTTCCTTCTCTAAAACCAAATTGTTTATTTGATATCATTTCGTGTTTTTCAAGCATTTCAACCCATTGTTTTCTAATTATTCTTTCTAGCAGTTTGCATACTACACTAGTTAATGAAACTGGTCTATAATTTAGTGGGTTTTGTTTGTCGCCGCTCTTATATAAGGGTGTAACATTTGCGAATTTCCAACTTTTTGGTAGTTTACCTTGTCTTAGTGAATTTTGAAATATTAACAATAAAGGAGTACACGGCTCTTCGACACATTCCCTAAGAACCCAGTTAGAAATTTCATCTGGTCCCTCTGCTTTGGTCTTGTCTAATCCTTTTAGCAGATCTTTTATTTCGTTCTTTTTGAGGGTGATATTTTCGATGTTCTTTACGTCTGTATGGGTATTTGCCATATCAAAGCATGGATCCTGAACAAACACTGACTGAAATTCTCATTAGGATTTCACACATTTCTTCCTCCTTAGAATATATAATGTTATTGTCTTTGATAGCGCTAATTTGATCCCTACTTTTAGTTTTACTATTTATGTAGTTAAAGAAGAGTTTTGGTTGACTTGCGCATTTGTTTATTATGTCCTTTTCAAAGTCTAATTTCGCCTCTCTCATGGTTTGGGTATACTCATTTCTTCCTACTTTATATCTTTCATATGCTGCCTGAGATCTATGCCTTCTGAATCTTTTCCAAAGGAGATGCTTTTTTTCCCTCATTTTCTTGCATTTGTCGTTGAACCATTTTTGGGCATTTCTTGCTTCAGTTTTGAATTTGGGTATGAATGTTTCCACTCCTTTTTTATAGATCTCACAAAATTTTGCATACTGAACATCAAGGTTCTCATCATCCAGAAGTGTTTCCCAGTTTATGTATCAAAGAAGTCTTTAAGGCTTCTATAATCACCTTTTTGTAATTGTACTTTTCCTTTCTTTCTTTGCTTACGATGAGTTTTTCCTGTAGCAGACAGTATTTTAGTTTAATCACTACATGGTCGCTTTTTCCTAAAGGAGGACAGTATTCGATATCCTTAATATCGTCGTTATGCTTTGTAAATATTAGGTCAAGCATAGACGGCCTATCTAGCCCTCTTATCCTGGTATGATCTGTTACATTCTGGAAAAGGCAATGCTCATTTATGACATCTAGTAATTTAGCATTCCAAGAATCAGTCGATTTTGCTATTAAAATCCCCTGTAATAAGAATTTCTGTTGAATTGGTTTCCGATAGTTGTAGCACTTCTTCCAGGCTCTTTATTGTCTCTTGAATTAGTTTCTGGTAATTTTCTAGTGACCACGCCGATGTTTGAGGTGGCATGTATACCGTGGTTATTATTATGTTTACCCCATTTGTTTCTACCTCAATTACCTTCATTTCCACTATGGGGTCCTGATTAATTTCTAACTCCTTTATAATAATTCCTTTCTTTGTTGATATTGCTACTATTGTGTGTGTGTGTGTGTGTGTGTGTGTGTGTGTGTGTGTGTGTGTGCGTGTGTGTGTGTCTGTGTGTGTCTGTATGTTTGTGTGTGTGTTTGCATGTGTGTGTGGAGGGCTGGTGCGCGTGTGGGTATGTGCGAATGTATTTGCTCATGTATGGTTATACATATTTACAAGTATAAATGTAAATCTATGTATCTATGCATCTATCTATCTATCTATCTATCTGTTTATATATATATATATATATATATATATATATATATATATATATATATATATATAATATATATATATATATATATATATATATATATATATATATATATATATATATATATATAGATATTATATATATATATATATATATATATATATATATATATATATAATATATATATATATATATATATATATATATATATATATATATATATATATATATATATATATATATATATATAATATATATCATATATATATATATATATATATATATATATATATATATATATATATATATATATATATATATATATATATATATATATATACATATATAGACATATGTATATATATTTATGTATATATATATATATATATATATATATATATATATATATATATACATACATATATATATATATATATATATATATATATATATATATATATATATATATATATATGTGTGTGTGTGTGTGTGTGTGTGTGTGTGTGTGTGTGTGTGTGTGTCTGTAGTGGCCCATTTGTCATAATCAGAGCTGCTGTTTTCTCATGAATGGTTTCAGATACAAATATCTTTCACGTATCTCTGTTTATCCCATGACCTGTCTAAACATATTAACTAAGTAAATACTCTACAAGGATAACTCTAGATCACATAATGAATTCAAAACTGCATATATATTGGACCTGAGCAAGCTTCGCCAAGTAAGTCAGGAACCTCCATATTTCACAGATCCAGCTCAGCCTGAGTTCATCCAAGCCACTGCCCGCCAACCAGAGGCAAACAATTCCAAAGATGCTTCTTTTGGTGGACAAGGAGAGGACGCCAAAGATCCTAGTCACCAACATGTCACCGAGCTTCCAGGTCATCCAGAGGTCACAGTGCACCCTGGTTACCAAGAGAACACTACGTATTTTGATCACCAAGAACTCAGTACCACAAAAGAACAAATAAGAAGATTTGAGTTCGGCAATAATAGCAGTCTTGAAATTATAGTGAAGTCTGGAGAACTGTCTGCCTTATTCTACACGAACTTCTCGGTAGCTAATAGCTAAGAAACATACCAAGCCATGCATGATAAAGCTTAAGAAAAGTTCTTTGAATGGAAATATCTGAATGCCATATGAATGGAACAGCCGAAAAACGGATAACTTGAACATTATATCCCCCTTTAGGTTTTAACGGTGAATGACCTGAAACCTGACATCGAGGAAGCTGCCCAAAACAACGCAGGTCTTTACGTGGTCGTCCTCCACCAGGTGCGCGTTGCTTATTTATCTCTTGTTTTGGTTCATACAGGGTGATTTGTGTTTATTTATTACGCTTCAGTTTCACAGTACTTTGGTTATGAATCTGATATCTAGCATTAAAGGAACGGTTTTGGTAACGCGTTGTAAAAATCTAAATATTATATATATGTATTTTGAATTGGCGTATGGAAATAATAACGGTAATATAGCAGTAGGGAAATGCTTTTTCAGGAAATTCTATGTCATAAAAATACTAGAAGCAATTAGTGGCTATTTCGTTTGCCGCTGGAAGTTTCTCAATATAGCACATGTGGCCAGATGATTTCGAGAAGTGGGCTGGATTTGACAAAGGGTCGTAAGTTTACCGACCCTAATTTAAATCTTTAAAGCCTTTCATTCGACACTGCATGATAGGAATCAGACATCAAGACTATAACCTACGCGATGTCTCAATTGCGAAACCTTCCAGGTGACCGGTTTGCCGCTGTGCAGACCTTTCAACCTGCAACCGTGGGCAGACTTCCACCTCCTAAAACCTTTCATCGACAGTCTCCAACCTGGCCGTATCATTATCTTCATGCTGAGGGTATGCTGTACTCTTGACTCATGTATGCTTTAATAACTGCTATATGTTTGTTAATACGAAGCAAAAGACAACGTATTTTCTCTTTCTGGCATGAATGGAAATTTCAAATGGCTAAATGATACCAGAAAAATATCTTATACATATTCAACAAACAAAAAGGAGAACGTTAATACCTCAGCACTGTATTCTGATAAAAAGCATTTCCACGTGAAGTACCATTTCTTCTTCCCACAGAAAGATTTGGCGTTTGGATTGCCCCGGGAAGTACGGTCCTTCCTCCAGCAGAAAGGATCTGCCGCAGCTGGCTTTGTGGGGCCAGGCATGACGTGGGCGTGGGTGTGGGTAAAAGGTGGGCGTACTTTGGCCGAGTCGGTGACCTTCCCTGAGCAGGAAAAGACAGCTCCAAGAAATATAATTTTCACTGATATGCCATTGGCTGAGCCTGAAGGTATTATTTCTAGTTCCATCTCCCCCCCCCCTTCTCTCTCTTCTCTCTCTCTCTCTCTCTCTCTCTCTCTCTCTCTCTCTCTCTCTCTCTCTCTCTCTCTCTCTCTCTCTCTCTCTCTCTCTCTCTCTCTCTCTCTCTCTCTCTGATCTATCTTATAAATTATGACAACACTCATAATCGTAATTTCTGCAAGCTTTATTTATATCTTATCATTGCTTTCGTTTTTCTTTTAAAGATTACTGTGCTGAGTGGCCTCAAGGGAAGCACTGGGATTTACGCAGAGAATATTGTGATACTTATGAATTGTTTGGGGACTTCTGCTCGTGTTCCAACCCGGAGACCTTCGTGGCCGATCGGAATTTGGTGAGTCATTTTCTGGTTCGTGTCGTTTTGTGGCACTGAATAAATATTATTTTTGTGTTAAACGTTTACATATTTTGTGATTTCTTGTTTCTGTAAGAGTCTTGATATCCTTACTAAAAAGTCTTATTTACCGTCAAACAGAATGCCAACAGTCAGATAAACAATGCCGTGGTTGTGATGCTGGCTTATCGTGTGCCGTCGTTACACAGGTAAAATGCTGACACAGGTTTGCAGACATGGGGAAATGGGGAAGTCAAAAGAGAAAGGCACAAAGGCAGATAAAAAGGAGACAGGGACATGTGTAAAAGGGGACACACAGAAAAAAAATAATGATCTTAAACGAAATACTAGACATTTAAAAAATCAAAATCATGAAACCCCTCAAAATCGAAACCAAACATTAGGGACCCCGATCCCTCACCTAAATACCTATCCTATCTCTCGCACCCAAAAGGAGCCTCCAGTTCCTGACTCGGGCCCGAGGGTTCGACCGATCGCGCATCGAGACGTACACGATGGCGCGACACCCGCAGCTGGCCAGGTTCCTCGAGCTCGTCGACCTTCCTCTCACGACGACCAACCAGACGCACGCGATGCTCTCCACGGCCATCGCTCGCCACCTCATCTTCGCCCTCGCCCACGCCCTCCACACGCACCCCGACGCGCAGTTTGTCATCGTTTTGGAGGAAGATGTCCAGGTGTCGCCGGATTTCTTTGTGTATGTTTAAAGTGCTTACTTCTTTACTGGGTTGATAAAACTGGATTCCTTTGATGGAACGCTTTTATCAAGCTTACAGTAAGGATTATTACATGCCTTTTAAAGATTCCCTTTGGATACCTGCTCTGTCTAACTCATTACCGTGTCATTACATTTTTTGACATAAAGAATATGTGATTTTATGATGAAACCGATTATGTAGGTCTAATAACCAGATTTCATATGTATTCCTTATGTTTATGTTTTAACATATCACATGATTAGCAGAAGTATTTTACCTACATTTTAGAGCAATTTGTCTTTCATCTTAAGCTTCCTGAACAAGACAGCCCCGCTCCTGCTAGAAGATCCGAGCCTGTACTGCGTGTCCGCACACAACGACCTCTCGTATCCACAGACGTCGTATGACCCGCGGGCGGTTCTTCGCACAGAGAGCTACCCGAACTACGGCTGGATGGTGAGCCTGGATGTCGCTGTTAAATATAGCCTCATTGAAACTCCCTACAGGTTTAACGTTTTACAATGTATATCTTATCAGCAATATTCAGTATTAAAGAACTATACATGATTGCAAATGTAGATTACTAGTACCAGTGATTATGAGGTACTTACATACATCTTGCATCTTTAACCCTTGCTGACGCTGGAGTGATAAACCTTACTGTTAGGTGAGCGTGGTAATTTGCAAACTGGGCATAGTCATCAATATAAGTTCCTCTCAATAAAAGAGAGAATATCATAATGCTAGCAATAGCCTGCAACATCCGGGTTCAAATCCAGTTTCGTGTCGCAGGTGAAACGAAGCTTTGCGGAGGAGATGGTCTCTTCTCTGTCTGCCATCGACGAGGAGTACGACTGGGACGTGGTCACTTACCACTATCTGAGGCGTGGGCGTGAGTGCATCATCCCGGAGGTAGGCATGGAGTTTTACCGTTTTGTGGCTATAAAAGGTTTTGGGCGGCAGTATTTAAGCAATACGCAGGAATCGTTTTCCCCGATTTTTTCATTCCTTGATGATGTGGTGAATCGTCTCAGAACAGTTGGTTCACTGTTGCAAGTGCACTCTGTGCCTCTTTGCCCGTCGGACATGTCTCAACTATAAATGGATTCTGCGTCTACATGCACCACTGTACTTTTGACTTACCCTAAGGCAGCTGTTTGGAGGTTTTAATTGTTTTTCATTTCTTTTTACCTGTGAATTATATTAAAACGTGTTTTTGCTGTTATAGGTGTCCCGCTCATTTCACTTCGCTCACGAGGGCTCGCACATATCCCAGCTCTCCGTCAGGAGGTATTTTTCAAATAAAAACCTTAACAAGGACCCCGAGGCATTAGTTGAAGGGGTGGACCTGTAAGTACCTAGAAGATAGTTAAAGTACTGTGACAGTAGGAAAAGTCATAACATAATTCAGTAGATATCCATTCATAAGCCTATATTCAAGTATTAAGGTGTGTAAGCATAGTGCAAGCACACTTTCCTTTATACAAACACCCATTTTATAGAAATTTTGTCATATAACAGATTGCACCAAGATAAATACGAAGCCACCCTCGTCTCAATGCTGGAAAGGGCAAAGTTCCTGAGGCTTCCAGAGGAGACTCCTTGCCAACGGGATTTCTTTAGGAAAATCAGTGTTCGAGAGAATGATGTCCTCGTCCTGTTCTTTCAGCTGGATGGAGATATTAAAGTATTTAGGAACAACGATGTATGGGCGACTCTAGCTCATGTAGGTCTATTGTCGTTTGAATAAAGATGACTAAGATATGGTGCTGCAAATAGATTGATATTGGCTGAACAAGAGGAAGTATCATTTAATGCATACTGAAATAAAGCTATAAGACATTTTCTTTCTTTCCTGCCTTCAACAGTGCTTGAATATTTTTGGCATCGAGTCCAGGGAAGGTCACCAAGGACTGTACAGGCTGAGGTACGGTCCTGCACATTTCCTGCTTGTGGCCCACCCCGCGTCGCCTTACAGGTTGGCTGTCTTATTACATGCTGTTTAGAAAGATAGACATACCAAGCTAAAAGTTGGTGAGATAACTTAAACCTTCATATTCCAAACAGATAGTTTTCACCAAAATATATATCACGTCATTTCCATATAAGTTCCACGGTCGAACTAAGCCACACGTGCGTTTCCCCAACAGCCACTACAAGCCCGAGGAGGTGGGCGTCTTCAGTGCCTCGCCCGAAGAAGTCCTTTTCGCTCGCAACGCCACAACAATTCACGAAGAACCCAACCCGATGCCCTGTGATATGGACCATTTCTTAGACACGGATATACCCTCTAATCGCAATAAAACCTGAAGAATAAATTTGATGCATGACTTTATTTAAATCTATTTTTCAGCTCATCTATATTCTTATTGCTGTGTGTATTATATCTTATTACCCTAATATACATATCATTATCATTATCAATTATCAAAATATATACTTTCACCATCATTAATATTCTCGTTGTTACGCTAGCAATGACAATAATTGGAATAAGAAATTCGACATTGTTACTCTGCCACTAATAGGCCTCACTCTTTTTAAACATCGGCCCAGTCATACCCATTGCACGAGGTATAAAAGAGAAGGATAAACAAATATTTTTCATTATACCGATAACGCCAGCGCCAACACCGCCAGTTCATTCTCCAGTGACAGAGGGAAGAGCAGGTGTTTCATTTGTTTAGTTAACGGTTATAGGCTCCGTTCGCCACCTCTCCTCTCGAATACATTAGTCTGTTGTAGTCTCTGCCGTGACTGGTCTCTGTAGCATCAGAATCTGTGTTCAGCTCAGTTCCTCTAGTGAGGATTTTGAGACCAGTGTTTCGTGAGCTGTGATTTGTGAAGAGTTAATAGGTATATATTCAAAATAAATGGCAGAAATTTGGCAAACTGGTAAAGGAGTTAGTATTGCCTAATATTAATGTTAATTCCAGTTATTAACACAATATTCTCATCTTTATTATATTTGTGTGCGCAATGAACGAATTGTGAATATTACTGACAAAAGATGGGTCTCCGTGCTATATACGCTATCATTTTTACATCACAAATTCTAACGAGTAAGCTAACCTGTGGTCTCTCTGAAGACACAATCCTCGAAATAAGAAGGGAAATACAAGCTATTGCTCGAAATATAATTCCTGAAAGAGACATGCAACACTTCAGATCTTTAGAGACAGATGCAGACTTCACAAAAGACATTGCGAGACGAGAGAATAATCCTCTGCAAAAAGATAAGAGGAATCCCAAAGAAGAAGCCTTGCGTCCTGAAGCCAAAGAGCCGTCCTTAGCTCCCTCGCGCGGTCGGAGAGAAGCCGCTGGATGCCCCCAGCACACGGGCAACTTCGGCTTCAACTCCTTCGATCTCCTGACGTTCGCTCTCCTCGCGTTCAACGGGGTTCTCAACACCATCAACAACCTCAACAACGACAACAACAACAACAACATCAACGCCGGGAACCACGTGTCGGACACCTACAACGAGGCCAACTCCAACTCCGACTCGTCCTCCGTCGTGATCATTGTCGTCCCGCCCATCGGCCGGAGGAAGAGGGGGAGGAGGGGGAGGGGGGTCGTCGGGAACGGCTCGGAAACGGACCAAGGACATCTGCGTCTCTTCGGAAGCGCGATTGAACGCTCGTTTAGAATGTTCCAGAATATCAGTGGCGTTGCGGATAAGAACGATCCGTGTGAGGCGGTGCTGGAGGTGTGCTCGTACCTGCAAGAGGCAGTGGATTTGCACGGGTCTGGTGTGCTGTCTGGCCTCGCGTCCCGAGCGCAGCGCGGGGGGTTGGCGGTCGATTGGCTCCAGAAAAGCGAATGCCAGGTGCCTCAGTGTCCGCTTGGAGCCGTCAGAGACCGGAATGGCTGATGCGACGAAATGCTTTTATTATCATTACTCACACACACAAACACACATACAAACACACACACTTACACACACGTGCACACATGCACACACACGTGTGTGTATGTATGCGTTATATGTGAAGACATTGTATTATAAGTTTATGCTGTGATAATGGTAACTACACTTGCAGCACTTAGTTAAATATATGAATATATACTAGATTCATTTGAAAACGGGACATCTGTAGCACAAACTTCAAAGCATATTAATAGTGGTACAACTTGACCCATTTTCCTTCATGAGCCACTGGATCATATCACGCGGGCGGACTGAGGACTCGTCACGGTCCCGCGGCGCTGGCCCGTTAGTCGGCTCAGTGTCAGAGTGGGCGTGAGTCAACACACACACACATGCAGTAGCCTCGCCGCTAACAGATACGCGTGGAAACCTGACATGGAAGAAGATGGGCCATAAAGCGTTCTTTATCGTTACCAATATTCATGCCATAAGATTGTGATATTCTTACAAGGAGATAAAAATCTACAACTATATATACGTCATCAAGGAAGAGAATTGGTTTGCAGTTGAAATGGAGACCGAATTCTTGAAGCAGCTCGTTCACCTCGTACAAGGAGAAGTCTCGAATGATAAGAGGTAAGTTATCAATAAGAGAGTGCATGGCCTGTGGTTGAATGTGATTAAGCAGTAGGGGATGAGAGAGAGAGAGAGAGAGAGAGAGAGAGAGAAGAGAGAGAAGAGAGAGAGAGAGAGAGAGAGAGAGAGGAGAGAGAGAGAAGAGAGAAGAGAAGAGAGACAGAGAGACAGAGACAAAGAGAGAGAAAAAAAAGCGGAGAGGAAGAGAGAAAGAGAGAGAGAAAAAAAAAAGTTGAGAGGAAGAGAGAAAGAGAGAGAGAAAAAAAAGCGGAGAGGAAGAGAGAAAGAGAGAGCAGGAGTTGGAGGAGGGGATAGACAGACACAGAGAAACAGCAAAAGAGAAAGAGAGAGAGGCAGGTAAAAACGAATTACGAAAAGGAGAACCCCATCTCCTGCCTCCTCCTCCTCAGGGTGCCTCGTGACAGCGGCTACGGAGGCGGAGGCTGCGGAGGCTTCGAGGTGTTCGCCTTCCTGGCCTTCCTGCTCGCGCTCCTCAACCTGGTGCTCCAGCTCAACGACAACAACAGGAGGCGGAGGTCGGTGCTCGAGGAGGCGGAGGCGTGTCGGGTAAGGGCCGCAGGAACTCTGAATAGGAGTGAACTTCTTATTTTCAGATTATGTCAAGACCAGTCGTAAGTGATGGAAAAGAAAGTTAGAATTATATTTTTTTGTTACAATTAATTATAATGAAATGTTGATTACTTATATCATAACTTATAACATTTAAAAGAAAAATAGTCATTTCAATTAGCAAGTTATTAACGTAATAATGCATATATGTCAACCCAGGATAGTCTTGATCTCTCTGAGGGCGTGTGGGCAGTGTCACAGTTAACGGAGGGCGTGTTGAGGGCCATAGCAAGCCCGCCCTCTTGTAGCCACGCCCTCCTGTGTGACGCTGCCTCCTCGGCCGCGTCTCGGGGTCCTCTCGCTGCCACCTTCACCGCCCTCGCCAGGTTAGTGGCGTTCACATACCAATGCACTGCGGAACGAATTTCTGTGACAAAATGGTGTCCATTCTCCCACGAGCCAGCGATAGATGTACAAGATACGACTTTTAACAACGTAACAGAAAATTTTAGTTTTTATTTGCTTAATTCCGCAGAGCCTAACATGGTTTAGGACGGAAGTACGTTTTTTAACTGTTGCTTATTTAGGTTACTTAAAAGTAATGTATTAGGCAAGGGTCACATTGATTAATGAGAGAAAGAGAGAGAGAAAACGGGAAAAAATTAGAAACGGAAAGGGGAAGAGCAAAAGCAAGAGGAAAAAAAGAGACAAAAAAAAAAAAAAAAAAAAAAAAAAAAAAAAAAAAAAAAAAAAAATCAGGGAAAGAGATGAAGATATTTGAATTTTTGCGTCTTTACTACTGTTCCTTCTCCTCCCTCAGCGACTGGCTCGAGCGATGGCCCGGTCTGCAGGGAAGCGGCTTCGGCCAAGTCGCTCGCCGAGCCGGACGCGAGCGAGACTGCAGTCGCTACGCCAGAACCGACTGTGCGAGCGTGCAACCTCGTGACTTCGATCTGCAACATGTCTTGAACGATCCTGCAACGTTACCGATGTGGAGGAACGCCTCGGAGGGTCTTTTGCAACATCTAGTGCAATCTAATTGGCAATGGCAGGACATTAGGGAAGAAAAGGAGTTAATGCTTGATGGTTAATAGTTTTTGCATTCTGATTTAGTATAGAGGAAATATATTCCTTGTAAAAAATCTGAAGAGGATTTAAGTTACGTAAGTCGAAAATAAACATTTAGCATTATGATTTCTTGTTCTTTACAACTTCAGGATTCCTGGGTGAACAGTGAAAAAGGTATAAGGAAAAATAATGGTCAAAGAGGAACAAAAAGGTTGAAAATTAACTTTATAACCAATTCACTGAGGAATAAAGTTATTTAATAACTTTCCGTTAATCTAAATCAGTGTTGTACAAACATGTTCGCCTATTGCACCTTTTATTATCTTCTTTTACTGTTACATACCCCCCCCCCCCCGTCCACCATGTCTAAACAAACTATATTATTTAGGATAATGCAAATGATATACTAATTATGAAAAGAGTGCATTGCAGGAGTGTTGGTCAGTAAATTCGAATTTAGCACACGAATAAAAAAATGATTTAATAACATGTGATGTTTCTGTTTGTGTGTGTTCATTGTTTGTTCACGTATGCGGACCCCAGTTTGGACAACACTGATCTAAATGATAAGATATATATTATCTAATAACTATGTGAAAGAACAGTTCTTAGATGCAGCATATATATGATTATTTCTATTCAACTAAAAATCGAAAAGTGCAGTGCCTGCTTTAGCAAAGAAATACAAGATTATGAACGTGAATGGAAAACATAAACAAATAAACTAGCTAATCTGTTATGGTAACAGGAGGCTTATGTAGTACATTGGCCACCGTTATGCTAACTGCTCCGCACGGACGCGTCTCCGCCCGTTATCCGGCTGCGCACGAATTCACCCTTGACCGGCGCTCCGTTCTTCGGCTGCGCGTCGGAACAATTCATATGTTCGTATGTTCAGCTTCTCGTCTTGCGTCTGCTTCGCTGCTATATAGTTTATGAGTGAAAATAGGATTTTAGACTATTTTACTGTACTACTTTACTTCTTTTCTTTTCCTTGCTCCGCCCCCTGATCTCCGCGGCCACGCCCCGGTAGAGTCTAAAGCTCCGCCTACTTTCGGCTGAGCGAGTCTTCCCTGTTCTCATTCGTCTCAGACGCCTCCTGATAGTGCGGCTTCAGTTTCCCTTGGCTTCTTCCACTGTGAGCGGCTTGTGCTTAGAAAAAATGTACATAATTGTACCGGAAGTACGATAACATAGCCAATTAAAACGCGGTTATCAAATTAGAAACGCGGATTCTACTTGCGCCAATCCAAAGCAAAGCAAAAAGAAGAAGAAGAAAATAAGAAGAGCAAAAAGAAGAGGAAAGATATGGAGGGCCTTAACTACGTGCCCGAGGACATGGTGTTCTCCTTCAGCGACGTGACGCACGTTCTGGCGGAGAAGGTGAAGAGCACTTTGCAAGACCCTCAGCCAGCAGAATCAGGGAGGTGAGTTTAATTGCAAAGGATGATTAGAAATATGGATTTGAGGTTGAATACGCAGCAGTTGTATACAGTGTGAGTGAAGATTTTGTGCATGAGTTGTATGTATGAGAGAAGCGCCTTACTATAGGCGTGGGGGAAAGGCAAAGACAGTTTTCGATAATCAAATGTGATTAGACAAACGTATGGGTGTCCGCCCAGCTCCGCTGCTTCATTCTAGATGTTGGGTAAGGTAATGTCTTATAAGACATATTTGAAAGACGGATTTCTCAGCAATATGATAGGATTATAGAATACATTAATGAGAATAGTATATCAAGGTAACATATAGTTTTATCAAAATTCACAGCTGTGATCCTAGAAATCAGACAGGGACGAGTCACTTGCAAGGTCACGGATTTTTCTTAATCACCATCAAAATCTCCTCCAGGTTCATCATTCCCTTCTTCAGCGGCTCCGGGGGCTGCAACGACGCCTTCACAGGATTCGGCTTTCTGGCTTTCCTGCTGGCGCTGCTGGATCTGATCTTGGAGCTGCAGGACGGGAACCGAAGGAGGCGGTCCGTTCAGGAGGGCCTGAACATGGATCCTGACATCCTCATGACTCTGGCGTTGGAGGTATGGCGGCGAGTACCATGTTGAGTCTGAAGTTTTAAATGAAGGCAAATTTCAGCGGCAATTATAATATGATGAGGATGATAACAGTATTGATGGCAGTGACCGTGATGATGATGATGATTAAAACAATAACGTCACATCATTCATGAACCATGCCTTTATCCCCGACCGACACCCGCTAACGAGGGAAAAAAAAAATCCACCCCCCCCTTCGCAGTCAGGTCCGGAGACGCAGGGAGCCGCGGCAGCGTGCTACAGCCTCTACAGGGCTTTCCTCAACGCCCCACGCGCACGCGAGGAGGCTGCGCCGAGAGGTTCATGTGAGGGGGCGGAGGCGGCGGCGTCCGGACCCCTTGGCAAGATGATCGCGACTGTGGCGAGGTTGGCTTGTTTATGCATACTTACGATATATATATATATATATATATATATATATATATATTATATATATATATTATATATATTATATATATATGCAAATTAACTACTCCATGAGTGATGAGTGACTTGATTTCTGAGTATTCTTCCTTTCTCAGCCAAGGTAGTAAGTCACAGAATAGTCTAGAAGAATATTAAGGCGTGTCTAAATAAGTGACAGCTTTTGCAAAATTCAAAGATCACTTTGAGCGAAAGCCTTCCTTCGCTCAGTTTCCTGCGAATATTCTAGCGACGCAACTTTCTCTTCTCAGCGCCAACGCCGCGTCGTGGCTGAAGAAGGAGAACGCCACCCTCTACAAGGGCGTGGAGGAAGCAGGAGCTGCGGGCGCGGCCGGAGGGGCGTGTGGGATGAGGTACTCGCAGTGCTTCGGCCTCCCGCCCTTGTACCGACACCCTCGCGTGTACACAGGAGACCCCTTGCGCGATTACCGGGCCCCCGGAAGTCCTTCTTTTAGGCCGAAGGATTCTTGATGCTGCGGAAGGAGGTGCATGGGAGCTGGCATGTCGTTGGCTGGTTAACTAATTCTTTACAAGGCAGCAGTATATATGAGAGGCAATGTGTTGTGATAGCTTGTTACAGATCTTAAAATACTGTATTGTACTTATACAAGAGCAAGCATACGTATGAATCAGTTGCTTTGTCACATGGTATGCTGCTGCATTACATCCTTTTAAAATGTTAATAATTACAAGTATTAGACTTAGACATCTGTGATTGTATTTTTACGCCCAGACTTTATATGGCATAATACACTTACAACAACTTTCCACCTACAGTATCTGCATATTTCCTATGCCTTTTATGTCACGGTTTGATGCTTGAAGAAGTCAGTGCGAACTATAAGCGCCGCCGCACCGTCTCCTTCTCATGCACCAGCTTATGGCACTCTGTTTCTTGGACGGACTAATCTTGCAGTCATTTAACATCTGTGGATCTAAGTTAAAACTTGTAACTGAACTGCTATTAATTGTTTTTCAATATCTGACTTTCATGGAAAAAATCTACAGAAAGCCAAAGGATTTGACTTGAGCGCTGTGTTTTGCCTGTGAATATTTTAGGCACTGAATCAGTTTGATATATTACGTAGTATTATATACAAAATTTCATGAATTATTTATCCGTTTGGACGTTTCACGATTGCTTGACTCCTGCTTCGAGACATATCAGTACTTTCCTCAGGAAACATTTGGAATACTACAGTTAGTACTACATTTATCAGTAGGGTTGTTGTTGCAGGTGTTATAATTTCAGTTTCATTTTATCTCATCATTATCATTGATAATTTGATCATTGCTGCTATGATCATCATTATTTATCATTCATGATTTTATCAAATCATTATTCTTAATATATGTTATCAGTAATAGTACTGTCCTTATTATTAGTATCAACCTTATTTCAAGCATTATCCTTAGAACAATTATCATCTTACTGTCAAAAGTTATTATCATCTTACTGCCATTACTATCATCATCATTATTTTACTATATTCATTATATACTTATCATATATGTTCATCTCATGCTTAATTTCAACACGGTTGTTTAATCATGATTTCCATAATATTGATCCCCATCAAAAGGATTTCTTTTATTGCTACCAGTAATCACGATATCATTCAACTAAAAGATAACAAGCATTTGTTAAACCATTAGTTTTTCGGCAAATATTTCCTACAAACAAAGATACACACACAACAAAAAAAATACACGTGCGCACACAAACACACACACACACACACACACACACACACACACACACACACACACACACACACACACACACACACACACACACACACACACACACACACACACACACACACACACACACACACACACACACACACACACACACACACA